TGCTATTTGCTATTGCATTATTAGACCAGTGTGTGTGTGTGTGTGTGTGTGTGTGTGTGTGTGTGTTTGTGTTACTGGAGATTGAACCCAGGGCCTTTGCACTGAGATATATTACCAGCCTTTTTATGTTTAATTTTTAAAAATATTTTGAACAGCGTATGGTGAAGTATCCCAAGCTAGGCTCAAACTTTTGATCCAAGTGGCTCAGCCTCCTAAGGAGTAGATCATGTTCTTTCATTCCTCCATGCACTTTCTCCATCCATCACACTGTCTTCCATTCACAACTGCTAAAAACTTTTTGAACATAATAATAAATAAATGAAAAAAGAGAGGATTAAAAACCAGTGCCTGCAATGGACTAAGTGTAATAAGTGATTGACTATTACTAAGAATCTAAGCTATCCCAGAACAGGAAAAATCACCCCGCCTGAAATAACAGGGGTTGTGATTGCAAAGGAAGTTGAGTGCTTCGCTAATTTAGAGTTGAGTATCTTGTGAAACCACCTTACTTAATACAGCAGAGCAGTCTGTGAATAACTGAGGGTCTTGCTGCTCCATCTCTGTCCATTGTACTTAGACCTCAAACTCACTTGAGTTCAGCAGTCAGGGTGTCCATCCTCACAGGGCCCAAGTGATGGGCTCCAGTGATGGGCTCACAGCAGCACAAACATGAAAGAAGAGCACACCTATGATTGACCCTTTGTGTAGCCCTGGAAAATCTTGTTGGAAGGTAATACAGCAGCACTATAAACAGAGATGAATACCTTGCCTCTGGACTATGGCCTATAGGCTAGGCCTTCAAGGATATCTCTATGTTTATTCCAAGACCCGTGACTTCCATATTATCTAAGCACTTTTTCTGAAGTAAATGAATCCAAATTGGCCAACTTCTTCCACAAGCTCTCCTTAAAGGCTGAACATTGTGTAGTCTCTGAGGGACGGCTGGCCACTTGGCTATTTGTGTGGGAGCTGTTTACCTTTACATAGTAAAGAAATGAAGCAGAGACGGATGGCGTGTGGCTCACAGCAGAAGCAAATCAGAATGGTCTTTTACTTGTATTTTGTTTTGCTTTCAGTATCTCTGTGCCAGTTCCAGCTACCTCCCTGCCTCTAGATTCTAAACATGCTGAATCCATCTCTATGAGTTCTGTTTCTGTGGTCCATTGGTTACCACCCATCTGATAATGCTTCTGCTGCACAAAAAGACAAGTCTCTCTTCCTCCTCTGAGCCAAAGCTGAGCACTGCTGCTCAGGGCCCCACTTCCAGCTTCAAGTTTCAGCGGTCACCTTCAGCTGTCCAGATCATGCCTCTGCTACTCACCTTGATCCTTGGTGAGTATCTCTGCTCCTGTTGATTTAGACCTCAGAGTTTTCTGAAAACTTTAGAAAGAGCTTTTCTCTACCCATGTTCAGATATCTTTCAAGGCTGGTTTTCTTCTTCATTTCTATACCTGGCACCTCTTCTAAACCCTAAAAGGCCCCTTATTCAATCCAAGTTATAATATGCTTTGATTGACAGTTTTTTTCTATTTTCTTGTATGTGCATCAACAAATTTATGGTAGCGAATCCCATTCTCCCTTGAAATAATTATGCTTATATGTTTAGTAATAAGAAAGTAAGTGAGCCAGGTATCATAGTTGGTGCCTGTAATTGTAGCACTTTGGAAGGCTGAGGCAGAAGGATTGCAAGTTTGGACCCAGCCTGGGCAGCTTAGTGACTTAGGATGATCTTGTCTTACAACAACAAAAAAAGAAAAGTAGAAAAGGATGGTGATTTAGCTCAGTATGAAGGCTCTGGCTTTAATCCAAAATACCTTAAAAAAAGAGATAAATAGATGCTGGTCAGTAGCAGGTAGAGCAAGGCAAGAAAATAGAGCGGCAAAAGTATCAGTGTTCATTGGTCATTTTGTCTGTTTTCCTTTGAAAAGACATTACAAAATGTTTCTCTAATTTTCTTCAGTTTCTTTTGCTATTTACCACTCTAGAAATTAACCTAGATAAGGTGGAGATTTTGGAGCCAAGGAGAGCTGTGTTTTAGTCTTGGCTCTTTGATTTCTTAGTTGTCTGAATTTGTAGATTACCATATTTCTCCAAAATCTTGCTCTATAATTTATGAAGTGAAAAGAATATTATGTTCTTCAGAAGTATGTCAGGAATCTTTTCATAAGATAATGAATACAGGGCAAGCAACAAAGTTTGCTAAGCCTCTACCTTGATCAATCACATCCATTTTTATCGCATTGGTGATCTAGAGCAGTGGTGATGAACCTATGGCACACATGCTGCAGTGGGCTGTTTTTATCACTGAAAGCTCTAAAAGCTTCGCCATCATGGGTGTAGGGCATCACCAGAGCCCACATGGGTCTGTCAAGTTAGCACTTATATTCCCAGTGTAGGGTCCTGGCTCTATTTGAAACATTCCTAGATCCCCAACAGCACCTGACAGCTAGTGCTGCCCCTCACAGATGTTCAATTAAGTCTCCCAGGTTCCTTCAAAATCCCAACTCCTCCACGAAGTCTTTCTGGTCTGTACCACCTGCAGTTTCTACCCTGTGAGCAGCTGCAAGTCACTTACTGGCTGTCTCACTTTTGCACCTGTATACCAGGCTTTGCACATTCACTTTTTGTCCCCCTTGCACACAAGTTTTATGTGGGAGGTTAGGCAGTGATTCACACGTGGGTGGCCCACATGTTGAAGATTATGGCCACAGGGTTAATGAGAAGTTATCTGCAAACCAAGAGAAGGAAATATTCCAGGACTCACCACTGAAATATTTGGACCTGCCCGATAAGTTCTAGGGTGGAGGTCTAAAGATACTTACTGTTTCAGAAAAATCCTATAAGATAGAGATGGGGGTGAGTTATATAGTTGAAAATTCCTAGGACTCAAAGACTACTGAAAATCAGAGGGCTCAGGACACTCTAGCACCAGGAGAGAGTCTGGAGGAGCCCACCCATAGAGAGATCTTATAGAAACAAACAAACAAACAAACAAAAAGCAATGTTCCCAGGATGTGCTTAGCACTTAAATCTGGAGATTTCAAACGAAACTCAGTCCTGACCTGTTCTGACCTGCTTCTGAGCTGTTCCTCTACATTAGGTGCCAGTAAACTATATTCTACAAGCTTAGAATGACTTTTACATTTCTCTTTTGGGAAGAACACACAAAGAAAAATAGTATTTAATGACACATGAAAATTAAGTCAAGTTAAATTTAAATTGTGTGCCTAAGTGAAGGTTTATTGGAACATGGCCATGTCTCTTTGTCCACAAATACATGGCTGCTCATGCCACAAAGCAGAGCTGAGTAGTTGCAACAACAACTCTTTAGGGAAAGACTTCGAGGTCCCTGATCTAAATGCAGTGCCAGTGAACACTGGCAAACTTGTCACTGTCCTCTAGTCTCTGAACTGGCCCGATGGTACCTGTGGGTCTCCAGGAGGGCATCATTCCAGCAGCCCAGTGCTCTCTTTTATTGGGCAAAGAAGCTGAATCACCACAAATCTACTTTAGGAAGTTACAACCCATCAGTCTCATTGACTGGAAAATCATGTCTACCTTTGCAACAGCACATGTAAAGGGAACAGGCTGGATTAGTTCACTGTAGTAGAATTGGTCTCTGAGGTTCCTGGCCGGTATCCCCTGAGGCCTGTCATCCCAGGAAAAGAAGATCACAGTAGATTCTGTATTTACCACTCTAACTGGTTGAATTATTTGAATAAAGCCTTGGAAATTTATTCCATGACCTGACTTGCTTCCTTTTTTCTTCCCTAGCTATTTGCACTGGACTTGGCTTCTTAGGTAAGATGTGGGGGTGGCAGGATGTGGGGGGTGGTGCCAGGGGAAAGGCTTGGAGCGGGGAAGCTTCCTGGGCCATGGAGAGAAACTATGGTTCAAAACATGCCCAATAACTTCCCTTTCTAATTTCCCATTCTACCCTATCAGCCTTATGTGGGTAAATTTCTACCTCTAGAACCTGGAAGGGTAAAGTGCCCAGGAAGGGTAAGTTTCCAAGGGACCTCTTCCCACTTTTCTCTGTGATCCAAGAAGCTTGATCAGCATCTAAATGAGAGAGAGCCTCATTGTAGGTTCAGAAGGCCCTTTACCCATCTTACTCACTTTTCCATCATTGGGGCAAAGTACCCAATGCCTTCAACTCAAAAGAGGAGAGGTGTATTTTGGCTCAAGCATTCAGTTCATGGTTGGCTGCCTCCAAGGCAGACATGGCATGGTGGAAGGGCAAGAGGCATGGGCAGAGGACAGCTGCTTTTCCCATGGTTGCTAGAAAGCATAGAGAAACAAAGAGAGGAGAAGCCAGGGTCAAGAATATTCTCTTCCAGATCACACCCCTAGTAGCCCAACTCCAACCTTGTAGCAGCAAGTCAGCTGTGTGTTCCCATGATCCAGTCACCTCCCATGTGCATGAGAACTTGTGGAGACACTTCATATCTAACCATAATAACCCCCTTATGGGAATAACAGGAGAATGAACTTTCTTTTGTCTTGCTGGTTTCAGCTAACATAAATCTCTCTGACAGCCTTACTGGCATCTTTGAACTAGAAATGCATTTGCTTCTATGCAGCTCATGGCTTGGTCAGAAGACAGCAGAACAGTTGTCAGTTTCCTTGAGGCATCTTTGAACGAGGTACCAATTTCACACCCAAAAAAGGAGGGTGCTTCACGGAAAGAATGAGTCCACAGGAGAGGAGGCTGTGGGTGGTTCAAACCCAAGAAGGGTCTTTGTGGATTATTGTTTCTTCTGCCCTATCCATCCAATCTCCAGCTCTGCCCTGCCCTGCTGCATCTCCAGGACAGCCTCCTGCATCACGAGCTGGCTGTATTCCTCCCTTCTCACCTTCTTCAGCTCACCCTTGTTGAGCAAGAAGTGAAATTTGATTTCTTGAAGATGCTACTTCTAATATCTCATCCTGATACTCAGAGTAGTTGGTCTTGTTTTTGACTCACAGGGCTGTCACTCATTGTCGGTGCAGGCAGGCAATTGCTCTTGTTACAACCTTTCTACTCCCCAGGAAATTGCTCCTTCTCTCAAGCCCTTTGCTAATAAAGTAAGCTAAAGACATTGTCAAGGTCATACTCCCCCCCAACACCCTTCCTCCAATCCTCTGCCTTTACAACTTTTCTCAGCTTTCTATCCCCCAAGGCTAAATTTCTTTTACACTGATTTTTTATTTCTTCCTTCCTGGGAACTGCTCTAGTCTTTTACTCCATTCTTCTTCAGTAAAGGCAAGACTTTTACTAACTAAAATAACCTGTAATGATACTGATATTAATGATTTACTGGAATACATGGTAATGTCAACTAGAACTCTAATCTTAGATCCAATGGCCCAAAAGTTATTTCTGGGTGACTGTCTTGAAATATATTTTATGCAGATATATAACCTTTAAACTCAAATATGCAACAATGAAAATTTATCTTAGGTTTTGTGGTAAAATTGTTTTCTATTTCTCGTCTCCATTCTTTATGTTACCCGCCCCCGAAAAAAAAGGAAGAAAAGGAAACAAAAACAAGTTAGTCAGTCCAACATAAACTTCTCAGTGCAGTTTAAAGTTAGCCAGATTAGAATTTTCGCACTTAACTGCTCCTCCTGGGTTGATCCCAAGTTCTGGGGAATTTGTGCCGAGTTGAGACAAGGGAACGGTGGTAAATTAGGAGTCACTTTCCATCCATGTCATTGCATGTGGCTCAGCGTGGCCTCTATTAAGCTGCTCACGTCCCATTAGGACACAGACCACCAGTCCAAATGCAGGTTTTCCTGGTGTACCAGATCTTTCTCAGCTAGCTGTTCCACTATCAAAAGACATGGCAAGTTCAGCTTTCTGCTGTACATACTGCTGTCAGAAGGCTCCAGTAGATCTGTTGAGATTGGCTGAAGCTACTAACTCTTAAATTTTCCGAGGGCATAAATCATCTGTTTGCTCATCACTGTTCTCTGAGTTCCTGACACCATACCTGAAACATACTGCGTGTTCAACAAATATTTATTGTCTGATGGGCTTTTCCCTGGTCTACACAGCAGTCTCCTCCCCACTTCTATGTCTTGGCAGGAGAGAGGTGTGGGGGGGCAGATTTTTCTGTTAGTCATTTTCATACCTAGAATTCAAATCAGGAAACAGAACCAAGTCTTTGGTTCTTCAAAATGTACCTGTAGGCTCTGTGGTACCTCTTTGTTACCTCCTAGAATGCTCTAGTGAAACTTTTTGGGCTCTGAGATTCTGAAGCTCTGAGTCTTCACTTGCTTTGTGCTTTTCACATTTCTTCTGAGCCAGGAGCTTGGACAAGGGATGATGTCATAGGAAGCAACAAAAATGAGTAGGGTTGGGTCACTGACAGTGGAAGAGAATTATGTAATTATGTTCAGTCTAAATTATGTAAATTATGCTTCAATCTGGATACTGTGTCAATTATTAGATATGATCTTACACCTATGTTCTGTCCTGGTGCTGCCATTATTAAGTAGAACAACCACAGGGCCATCATTTTCATTAGGATCTTTTTCTTCACCTATGTAATAGTGGGTAGCTCTACAGATCCTTCTCATTCTTTTTTTGTTTGCTTGCTTTTGGAGACAGGGTCTCACTATGTAGCCCAGCCTGGCCTTGAACTCATGGTGATCCTCCTGCCTCAGCTTCCAAGCACTGAGATTACAGGCATGTTCCACCATGCCCAGCAGGTCCTTGTAATTCTGACCACTAGAATCTAATGATTCTACTGAATCAATCAATCTCTTTTCCCTTAATCTGAAAAAGCCAGCAGTAATATCTAGGTGTCTTGAAGTGGTCTTCCTCACTAGCATATAATTAAGTGTGTGGTAGAATGTGAACTCAGAGATGGAGTCCTGAAGCTCCCTCCTTCTCTTTTGACCTCTCCTTTATAGTTCCTTAACTTGTCACATCCTCTGTCAGCCTGGAGGCATCCAGGATTGAGTAAGTACATCTCCGAGCACCCACTCGGCTCCTCCTAGGTCCTCAGTGGATACCCCATCTCTCTGCAGAGTCTCCACCCAGAGTACGACTGGTGGGAGGTCCCCACCGCTGTGAAGGGCGAGTGGAGGTGGAGCGGAATGGCCAGTGGGGCACTGTGTGCGATGATGGCTGGGATCTGCAGGATGTGACTGTGGTGTGCAGGGAGCTGGGCTGTGGAGCAGCCAAGAAATCCCCTACTGGTACTCAGTACGGGCCTTTGGCACAGAAAGATCAGAGCGTCCTCACCCAAAATGTCAATTGCAATGGGATGGAAGACACATTGGCTCAGTGTGAGCAAGATGAAGATGTTTTTAACTGTGCACATGAAGAGGATGCCGGGGCATCATGTGAGAGTAAGTACAGTAGGGCTCAAGGACCATCTACCAGCTGCCCACTCTTCATTCCCTGCCATGGGCTTTCCCACAATGGGGTCAGCTCTTCATCCCTCACGTCTCACCCTTCCTCAGTCATGACCCCTGGAGGTAATAATATTATCACCTAGAATTATTATTCCTACTAAGGTTTTTCTTTTAATTTCAATCTATACAAGACCATGTGCCTTGTTTATACACCTGAAAACAAACATACACAGCCACTGAACGTTTGTTGAATGATGTGTCCTACGGTTGAGGTGGAATTAGAGGAAAAAAATGAACTCACAAGTCATAGTGTGTGCTTTCTGGGTAGTTTCAAGTCTCATTGAGTCTGTCATCTTGTCGAGTAGGCAGGAGATCACAGGAAAGCAGCGCAATTTCACCGTTAGTTAGATAGATGGTGACAGACTGATAAGTACAAACACAGATCTGTGCTCTTTTAGCACCCTGCGTATATATGCTTTCCAAATTTAATGACAATTTCTCCCTCTGTGTACTCTTTCTCTTTCATTAGACTGATTTTGACTCAGGGACCAGCCTAAGTCTCCTCCCACAGAATTCATGACAGAAACAATTAGTTTTGCCTGGATGCTGAAGTCTCATTTTTATTTCTTAGAAAGGTTGAGGATTGGGATACTTGCTGAATGCTAACGCTGAACCCAAAAGTTTTTGATCTTTTATGTTTATGTGCATAGAAAGATAGATTTATGTACACACATAGATTACGCCTCTAATTTTGTCTCATGAAGAACTGAGGAAAAATGAGATGAATGTAGAAAATAATTAGGTAAATTAAAATGCTACCGAAATGAAAATAATTCAGCTTGACACTGAGAAATGTTCACTACCTTGATTCATCATCCATTCTCTTGATAAGACTCTATTAGGCAGTGCTCAGCTCTCTAGGAAACATTACACTGAACACAAAGAACTGAGTCTTGTGTACCATGGGACCCCTTTTTCTGAGAACACTATGTTGATATTTTTTCCTCATTGAGTTTATTGGTACTTTTTAAGTATACAGTACAGTTACATTCATCATTGGGAACCCTTACATGACAGATCTTTGTTCTCATTTTTTGTCCATACCCCTGCCCTCCCTTCACCCCCTCCAACCTCCCCTATTTACAAAGACTTTGTTTCCATTTTTTCCTTTTCTCAAATTTTTTTTCTTGTCCCTTATTTCTTTTCCCCTACCCTTCCCACTTCTACACCTTTAGCCCTTTTCTTCCTATTTCACATGATCAGTTATACAATTTGGATCTTACTTACACTTTTAGTTTTTCACACCAGATAATCTATTTGGTATTTACATGTGTGTCTTATTTATTTTGCTTAAGAGTATGGCCTCAATATGCATTCATTTTCCTATGAATGACTCTAGTTTCTCATTCTTTATGAGAACACCGTGCTCTTGCAAACAACAGACACTCTGGCTTTCTTTCTCCACAGAGCCCGAAAGTTCTTCCTCTACAGACCCAGACAGCTCTTTCTCTATGGTCCAGGAGGTCCCTTTCTTCCTAGTCCCAGACAGGGTACGGCTGGCCAGTGGCTCTGGGCACTGTATGGGCAGAGTGGAGGTGGAGCACAAGGGCCAGTGGAGCACTGTGTGCAAAACAGGCTGGAACCTCCAGGCTGCGAAGGTGTTGTGTCGGCAGCTGGGATGTGGGAAGGCCCTGGTGGCCCAAAGACACTGCAACGAGACTACCCAGGGTCAAAGATCCATCTGGATGAGCAAGATGGCATGCTTAGGACAAGAGGCAACACTTCAGAATTGTGATTCTGGGCCTTTGAAGAGGAACAGCTGTACCCATCATGATGACACATGGGTGGAATGTGAAGGTAATGGAAGGTGAAGCTTATTTATCCAGAGACTAGGCTCATTTATGCAAATGATTATTAAGTGGAATGCCATTTGAAGAATATATAGAGACACCTACTCGTGCACCAATGGACCAACTGGCCAAACATTTAATTGTGTGGATTGCCTGCCATCTTATTTTTAAAATGGTTATGATAATAACTGTTTTTGCATATTAAAGTGTTTAAGCAATATTATGCACCATATTGAAATGAACTGCTATTATACAGAATTCTGTGGAGACAAGGCATACTACTCCATACATTCTTCAGTTTTTAAAAACTACTAGAAAATCATTCATAAAAGGAGATAAAAAGAATTAAGATGTATTATCTACATGTACCAACGCCCCAGGATGAATATAATCATTATGTACTGAAAAATATAGGCTAATAAAATATTTCTAAAACAGATGGGAAAGTAAAAAGATCCTAGGACACAGACCTGGGCCACAGAGGTTGAAACCTGATGGAAACCTGGGGTTCATGCTTCAATCATAGAAACACAAGTGGAAAGTTTCAGATGTGCTGTTGGGATTTGTGTGAGGGTGTAGATGGTCTTGGTTTTTTTTTTTTTTCTCTTTTCCCATTCTTACCCTTTCAACTTCCAGTTTCCTTCTCCACCCTGCAGGTGCCTTTGACCTGAGGTTGGTAGGAGGAGATAAGTTTTGCTCCGGGCGGCTGGAGGTGCTGCACAAGAACGAATGGGGCACAGTCTGTGACGACAGCTGGGGAGAACAGGAAGACCAGGTGGTATGCAAGCAACTGGGCTGTGGAAAGCCCCTTGTTTCTTCCTCCAGAACCCGGAAAAGATATGGTCCTGGGGCTGGCCTCATCTGGCTGGACGATGTTCATTGCTCAGGGAAGGAGGAGTCTCTCTACCAGTGCAAGCACAGGCTTTGGGGGTATCATGACTGTGTCCACAAGGAAGATGTGTCTGTGACCTGCTCAGGTAAGTCCATAGGTGGCATTTGCAAGAGCTGGCATGGGGGATAATGGGGGAAGAGGGGGTGGTGAGAGTGGATTCTGGGGATAAGGGCAGCTCTACCAGTGTCAGACCCTGCCACAGCCGTTCCCTGCTTCCTGTGTACTCCCAGGTAGAGGACTGAGGCATTCTAGTAGGGTTCTTTTTTTTTTCTGGAGGAATTTATAGGGATATAATAAATAACATACAATTAATGAGTATAGAAATAAATGGAGTCTTGATCATTATTTGATCAACATCCTTAACATTAAACACAAAGAGAGCAGGAATCAGAGAAAACAAGTCATTTTCCAAAATTCTAAAGCTTGCCTTCAATGATATACCAGAACTATAATAAGCAGTCTTTGTTTTCAATCCAGGGTTAGTGTTCTTAGATTACTCAGTTTTCAAACCCTCAGTCTATCATTCCCCAGATTTTATTTTCAATGTGTGTGGGGCTATTGTAGCGAGAACTTTGAGAACGTCCATGAGAGTCTTATCAGAGAGAATAAGGTAGCAGCTCCGAACCTGAGACCACTTCGGGGGACTAAAGGAAGGAGCTGGCCGGGAAGTCCAAGTGTGGCTCCTGGGTGGTCGACTCAGGGAGCCACGGGTCTGAAGCCCAGTTGGAGAATTAGGGTGAGATCTGTTTATGGAGGGCTCTTTGGTTACACAACCAACTAGTAAACAACTAACTGATAAATAACTAACTGGTAAAAACTGATATTTAACCAAAAACATGGAAGTAGTTAATGTCCAGAAAAGGATAAATTTAGTGGTGAAAGACCCGGATTTTGAATTCTGTCGTTGCTCCTTTGAAGCTATATAATTCTAGACCATCACTTAAGGACTCTGAACCTCAGCATTTTCATCTGTGAAAGAGGAAGACATTTGTCCCATGTACCTTAATGACTTCAGTGAGTGTCTGAACATAGAACATCTGTTCAGCATGATGTTCAGCATCAACCAACGACTCATTGAAAATAAGCATTTCAGGAAAAGAAATTCCTATTTGTATTCAATATGTACCTATCTTTCACTTGTCATTTTTATCTTAGAAATACAGTATAACTGCTATTTGCATACCATTTACTTTGTATTAGGGCACACAGGAGAATGTTTGTTGTATATAATACAATGTCCCTTTGTATAGGGCACTTGGACATCTGTGCATTTTTTGGTGTCCTTGGGAAACCTCCGATTTTCTCTGTGTGTAGAGGAGAAGGGCTGTACTGTTTGTGACTCACACAGGATCTGGTTGAATAAGTTGCTGGCACGCTGAACAGGATTTTGATCTGGCTCATATCCATGTAGAATATGTGTAGCTCCTTAGCTCTCTCATGATCTGGACACTTATCTGCTCCCTTAGTCAGTTTAGCTTGAATGGAATAATTCCTTCCAAGTCGAACCCAATCTTTAATTCATTTTCCTCTTCTTTTTACAGAATAGTATCCTGGCCATCTTGATGTCTAACCTGGCCCCTGCTGGTCCTGCATATCCCCTAGTTGTTCACCTGAGCCCTAATATCCTAGTGGTCACACTGGGCCCCAGACTTCTGCCTCCACTCCCTCAATCTCTCAGGAATTTGAATGCTGTGCTTAGACCTTGATCTCAGGAACAACAGCCACCTCTCTGTTGCCTGGAGATACAAGCTGTTCAATCCCTTTGGAGAAAATGAGCTTTCCATTGTGCTTTGCTCACTACTGACCCCTTGGGGTTGTTTCTGGTCCCTATTTCTTCTTCCCTCCTGCTCTTGGACCAGATATGTAGGGCATTGTTAAAACAGTAACTATGTCTGTAAGCAACATCAAAGGAAGAAAACCCCAGAAAGAACATTTAAAGGAAATATGGGTGGATAATTTTTGGAATTTGAGAAAACAGTCTTTTTGAACTGTTATAGAACTTTAACTGATCACAGCAAAAAATAACACCTGACTGCTTTGCTATTTCTTGGGGGAAGGTAGGCTCCATTTTCAGTATCAGAGCAATGTCCTTTAGCACTAGTTGTTTGCGTGACACTTAGAAAAAGATGTTTTTCCTATTTTAGTAAAATATCTTCGTTGTCCCCTTCTGTGCCACCTGACAACATGGTTGGCATTTGACAAAAGGAATCCCACAAATGTACTTTACTTTACCCAAATAAAAATGTATTCGGTAATGAGAAAGGGTCAGGAAAGAGACAGAAAAGAGATTAAAGAGAGCTACCATTGTATCTCATGCTACTCAGAAAGTATCATTTTCATTTTATCAACAAGGACTTTGCAGCCTCTAAACTGGAGGAGAGGCAGAATGATACTTAGGAGAGAATTGAAATTTAATTATAAATCTCAGCAACTCTATATTCTGAGGTTAAGCTGGGCTGGATCTACACTGTCTCATAAATTGGATCACCCAATCTCAACAGTTGTTTACATGATAATGCTTTTTTTGCTCACTGGGAAGCAAGTACATCAGCTTTTCAGTGAGGACATTTTGAACAGGATTAGCTAGACGAGAACCTACCAGCAAATACAGCCATATGGGTAGTACAGCTCTCCTCTGGATAGAGAATTTTCTTCTTATTTTCTGTTCCAGTGTATGGACCAAAGTTAATTCTGCCTCTCTTTCCTTTCTTTTTTTTAAAAAAATCATTTTATTTTTGATTACCATGTATTAATTATGCTTACTAATGGGGCTCAGTGTGATATTTCAACGCATGCATATAGTGGGCAATGACTAAATCCAACCTCTCTTTATTCATCCTGCCCTCCCCCACCCTCCTCAAACTCTCGTAATCACTATTATACATTTAGGTGCATTTTTTTTCAGTTTCCACATATGAGAGAACATGCGATACTTATTTTTTACTTATTTTACTTGACCTAATATCGTCTAATTACATCCATGTTGTTATAGGATTTTTCTTTATGGCTAAATAAAATTCCAAGGTCTATGTATACCATATTTTCTCTGTTCACTCATTTGTGATGGTCACCTAGGTTGATTCCATATCTTAGCTATTGTAGCTGCTCAGATGATTGAGTTTTCAGCAATAAAATATTTTAAAATATATTTTTATTAAGGCATGTACATTGTTTTTAGACATAATGGCATTACACACTTAACAGGTGACAGTGTAGTATAAACCTAAGTTTTATATACAGCGGGAAACCAAGGAAATTTATATGACTCTCTTTATTGTGATATTTGCTTTATTGCTGTGGTCTGAAACCAAGACCTCAGTATCACTAAAGTATGCCTGTAACCACCTGTAACAGCCCTTTCAGCCACATGGGCTTTCTGTCTCTTCCAAGACACACTGAGTTTACTGGTGAGTCTTGCAGAGGAGTAGGTTTTGGGGAGAGAGAGTGTCAGGAGCTCCATTTGAGCCTGTTGAGTCTGCAATATATTAAAATTCTTCGTAGAGACTTTCATTAAAACTTTAGGGGTCATCTCTGGCCCCGAATATATAATCTGAAAATCACTGTATATGTGTGATATTCAAAGTCATGAGACTGGGGCTGAATAAGAGGAGAGATCCAAGGACTGGGCCTCAGGGTGCCATAATGCTTAGCCTGGATTCCCCTGGAACAAGGAGTCAGGTGCAAATTGTTTATTGGTTGCTAGAACCAGGAAACACTTGCCAGGGACTCAAAAAGTGAGTTGGAAAGGGAGAAAAATCCAATGAAGTAAGGATTAATGAGCTGATAACTGCTATGGGTAACTGGGTTTCCTTCCCACGGGGAGTTTTCTGATGTGCTGCATGGAAATCATTTCAAAATGAATGTGCCACTGGCTTTCTGGGTCTCCAGCTTGTAGACAGCAGGTCCTTGGGATTTCCAACCTCTATAATTACATGAGCAATTTCAGTAAAATAAAATATATTTACACATATATTAAAGTCAATGGAAAAATACAACCATTTACTCTAGGTGGGACCACTAATGGGCTAGACTCTTCAGGAATGAAGGTTTAGGTTATCTTACCAGGTAAAGAACCACAACTAGCTGAAGTGCTTGCTGAATCAAATGGAATACAAGATGGGTAATAAAAGAAAGTAGTTATAAACACCAACTATGACCACATGACCAGTTACAGAAATGGTGATCAACTGTTATGAGCATTCTCCATTATTTTGCCATGAATATGCATGTGTGTGTAGGAAAATAAAATATCTTGTAACATAAACTATATCCACTTACTTCATTTTATGCCATAGTATTTAAATTAATGAAACATAAAAGAGAAGAGTAGATATCACTCAATGGCTTTTCATCCACTTTTGGATTATAAGTGAGGGAGTTTTGAGTTGTTGGTAGGGTAGTCTCATTATGTTAGGTGGAATGAGGACCCATTATTGTCTTCATATAGAGATTAAGTATATCTTAAGGAGATGGGTTGCCAGGTTGACAAAAGGGTGGACTTGTAATGGTTAATTTTATGCAACAACTTCCTGGGTCATTGAATGTCTAGGAATTTGATTAAATATTATTTCTGGATGTGTCTTGTCTGTAACTCTCTTCTGGGTGAGATTAGCATTTTAGTTTTTTGGTTGGGTAAAGAAAACAGGGACCAAGACTCTAAAACTTCACTGATTCCTCAAGTCTTTCCCTTAATTTTTCCAAATGTTTATCTAAAAAGACTTTACCCCTCTCTCATCAGATAATCAGGGGTTACCTCTGATATTTTCTTTCAGTTATTCTGGCCTTGCTAGGGCTCGTCTTCTGTGTCTTAACTTGATTCATCACTGCTTCTTGATAATTTTCTTCCTGAGGGATAGAAAGAAAAACATCTGCCTTTTATGGAAATATGAGTAGAGAATGAATATATCTAACAGCACATAGCAGCAATCCAATAAATAAGCATACAAAACTATTTTGAAAATGAAATCAAAGTGACAGTGCACGTTAATGCCCAGTTGTGAATCTATTGTGTGATTTGTGTAGCTTTTGTGAGGAAAGAAAGCATGCCAATAGCTCATGGTTTGCAATTTTGACTTTTATTTATTGTCTTGGTTCATTAAAGGCCCACAGCTGTTTTCCTGGCTCATCTGGCCTAACTGGGCTTGGATCTAGGCTGTAGGTTTAGTCAAATTTCCTCCAATTATTTCCTCATTCTGGGATCCTGATTGCAGCAGCAGCCAAGCTAAATGATGCAGCTGCAATTAAGTATCAGGTTGGATGTATCAAATCCCTTGGACACTTATGTCTGTATGGCCAAGATAAAATACACAGCCACATCAAAAACCAGTGGATCAGGGACGTACATTCCTGCCAAAGGGTATGTGAGAGAGCCTCTGCCAATGGCAAAGCACATATAAATCTCTTATAGGAGGAGAGCCAAACAGTCAAAATCAGTAGCCCTATCTATTTTTAAAAATTAATTTTATTGGTACATTTAAAGTATACAATATAATGACATTCATCATTGGAAATTTGCACCTTTATATAATCCATCTTGGTTCTTAATTTTTCCCTATTCCCCTGACTTCCCTTTCACCCCTCCCTCCCTCCCTATCTACAAAGACTTTACTTCCATTTTTTTTTTTTGGCAGCTGCATTTAATAGATGAGGTTATGTCCTCAGACCATCACCACATTGGGAGACATGCAGCAGTTCGTGTCATTAGGGTTTGTGCGACATTTGATTACTTGATTAAGGAGTTGTCTCCACCTCACCCCAGAAAGAATGGCTGCTATCAAGAAATCAACCAATAACAAATGCTGGCAAGGCTGTGGGGAAAGAAGAACACTGTTCCCCTGCTAGTGGGAGTGCAGACTGGTGCAACCACTATGGAAATCAGTATGGAGATACAGCAAAGAACTAGGACTGGAGGTCCCATTTGACACAGCTATTCCCCTGCCCCTCCCACTTCCCCTTCCCCTTTGCACCTTTTCTTCCTATTTCACATTATCTATTACACCTTTTATTCCTTACTAACACTTTCAGTTTCTCACACTAGAGAAACTATTTGGTATTGACACATGTGTCCTATTTATTTCACTTAAAAGTATGGCCTCATTGTGCATCCATTTAGCTATAAATGTCTCTAGTTTCTCATTCATTATGGCTGAGTAGCACTCCATTTTATAAGATAACCCTACATTTCTTTATCCAGTCTCCAGTTAATGGGCAATTGGGCTGCTTCGAAGTTTTAGCTATTATAAACTGTACCACTATGAACATGGGTGCACATATATCGCTGTGGTATGATTCTTTTAATTCTCTCAGAAAGATACCCAGCAGGGGAATAGCTGGGGTGAGGTGAAATCTCAGAGCTATTTTCATTTGCATCTCTTGAATGACCAGTGATGTTGAACATTTTTTCATATGTTTACTTGCTATTTCTACTTCTTTGTCTGAGAAATGTCTGTTCATTTCAGATGCCCATTTTTGGATTAGGTTTTTAAATTTGGGAGGTCTGACTTTTTAAAGTTCTTTATATATTCTAGATAGTAGACCTTTCTTTGAGGAAAAGCTGGTGAAAAGTTTGCTCTTCACACTGTTGGTGGTTTCTCTTGCTGTTCAGAAGCTTTTTAATAAGAAGAGATCCCACCTGTTGATTGTTTGGGCTAGTTCACATGCAACTGAGGTTTTGTTCATAAAATCTCTTCCTACATCAATGTCTTCAAGAGTTCTGCTTAACCACTCTTCTAGCCGGATTAGTGTTTCTGTCTTAATATTTAGAGCTTTACTCCATTTTTTTTTTTTTTTTTTTTTTTTTTTTTTTTTTTTTTTGAACTCGGGTCCTTGCGCTTGCAAGGCAGGCCACCGAACCACTGAGCTAAATCCCCGGCCCCTATCTTTGCTCCATTTTGATTTTAGTTTAATGCATGGTGAGAGATATAGGTCTGGTTTTAATCTTTGGCAAGTTGAAACCCAGTTTTGCCAGTGCCATTTATTAAAAAGTCTATCTTTTCTCCAGCCAGGGTGTTTGGCTCCTTTGTTGAAGATGAGGTAGCTGAGTGTATCTGGAATTGTTTCTGCATTTCTAATCTGTTCCACTGGTCCTCAGGTCTGTTTCTTTGATAGTACCATGCTGTTTTTAATCACAGTAGCTTTGTTATATAGTTTCAAATTGGGGATCGTGATGCCCCCTGCCTTGTCTTTATTGCCTAGAATTGCTCTTGCTATTCTAGGTCCCTTCTCATTCAAAAATAATTTTTGGATTGTTTTCTCAAGGTCTATGAAAATATGCTGCTAGGATTTCAATTGGGGTGGCATTGAATCTCTATATAACAGTTTTGGAAGTATGGCCATTTTCACTATGTTGATTCTTCCTACCCAGGAGTAAGGGATGTCTTTCCATTTTCTGATGTCCTCTTCAATCTCTTTTTCAGAGTGCTATAGTTTTCAGAGTAAAGGTCTTTCATTTCTTTTGTTAGGTTAATTTCTAGGTATTTCAAGTTTGGGGATGCTATTGTGAAAGAAATTGATTGCTCCATTTCTCTCTCAGTAAGTCTGTTTTGCATATACTGAACAGCTATTGATTTTTGTGTGTTGACCTTGTATCCAGCTACTTTGCTGAATTTGCTTATTAAGTCTAGAAGACTTTTGGTGTGTTTCTTGTTGTCTTCTATATAGAATATCATGTCATCTTCAAATAATGACAGTTGGACTTCTTCACTTCCTATCTTTATTCCTTTCTCTTGTTTAATTGCTGTGGCTAATGTTTCCAAAACTACATTGAACAGCAGTGGTGATAGTGTTTCTGATTTTAATATGAAATATTTCTGGTTTTGACCATTTAGTATTTATTACAATGACATGAAACAAATTTCTTCTCCATGGACCACATTTTCTTCTTCTATGAAGTAGGGGAGCAAAGATTCCTCTCCCAAATGTTTCTTAGCTTCTGTATTAGAGACCTTAGGAGAATCAGAACCCATAGAATGAATGTGTAGCAAAGACCCTGGATTTTGCATCCCAAATCTAAAATACTCAGAAAAAAAGAGAAAACACAGACCAAGCTATTTTTTATAAAAACATGCAAAGACTTTTGTTTCTTGTCATTATTCCTTCAACAGTACAACTGCTATTTGCATAGCATTTACATTGCATTGTATCTTATTGTATTATGAGTAAACTAGAGGTAATTTAAGGTGTAAGGGAAGATATACAAAGACTATGCAAATACTATAGATTTATGCATTGGTGGATTTTGGTATTCATGCGGACCCTGGAACCAATCCTCCATGGATATGGAAAGACAGCTATTCCTTTTAATAAAGAGAGGTTTATTTCAAGGAATTGGCTTATGTGATTATGGAGGCTGTATCAGAATCTGTATGGTACATCAGCAGCTGGAACTTATGGATGAGCTGACATGCAGTTCAAGTCTGAAGGAAGTCTGAAGCAGAACTCACTGTCACTTGAGCGAAATTGATCTTTCATTCTCTTCCAGCTTTCCACTAATTGGATAAAAACCTATCCTGGAGGTCAAACTACCCTATTTGCTATCCACCAATTGAAAGGTTAAAGTAACCTGAGAAACCCGCAAAGAAATATCCCAGATAAAGTTTCCTCACACATCTGGACACCATGGCTTAGCCAGGCTGGCACCGAAATTCACCATCACAGTTCTGCCCTATGACGGCTCCGCTTGTTGGATAAGGCGAGAGGTACATCATTCTCTTGCCTCTTGCATCTGAGCTCATATCTCTTCTGTGTTTTCCATACTGCTTCATGGAACACAAGCTATTGCTTTCCCATAGAGGCTCCAATTCCGGCCCCTGGCGAGAATCCTTATCCTGACTGTGGGCTGCAGTAATAAACTCTTCTCACATGCCTTTTCTTCCCATGGGAAACTCTTGTACTCATCTCCAGAATCAGAATTCACCTCATTAAACTTTGGAACATTATGATTTCTAAATCCCTGGACCTATTTATTTCATTTTTATTAGAAACCTCTGGGCTGGGGATTTAGCTCAGTGGTTTGGTGGCCTGCCTTGCAAGTGCAAGGACCCGAGTTCAATCCCTGGGACCAAAAAAAACAAAACAAAACAAAACAAAACAAAACAAAAAAACTCCCAGCTTGTGTGAAAGCTAGGACAGGCACATTATCCACTTTTTTCTGTCAGGATAGTCCTACTGTAATGTACTATGCTTGGACAATTCATGCCTCTGGCATGCTCCTTACTGGGTCATTAGTTCTATATCTTTTCATAACATTGAATTATTAGGAGAAATAAGGACCCTTCTTGACATTTTCTTGTTTAACTGCCTTTTTTTTTTTTTTGGCATGCTCCACTCTTACTATACCAAATCCTAGCTCTGTAAGTTATTACTTTAAGCTCTATATCATTAAATCCAGAGAAGATATTATAAGAAAATATAAAACAACATATTTTTAATAAAAAGATATTTTAATATCCTTAACGTAATGCTATGGTTTGAATGTGGTTTGTTCCCTTCAGTATTAATGTTGAATTTGACTCCCCTTCATGCAGTATTAATAGAGAGAAAATTTGACTATGGGGTAGTGATGGGGCTCTTGAGAGGCAATTGATATTAGATAAAGTCATTGCAGTTAATTTCCTATGGTTGAATGCTGGTGACTTTATAAGTGGGAGAGAGAGACCAATACATGTACATGCACACACACACACACACACACACACACACACACACATGCTCCCTGTTTCTTACCCGGTGATGCCTTGTAGTGTCTTGGGTGTCCACCAGCAAGAAAGCATTCCCCAGATGCAACTCCTCAATCTTGAACTTTCAGAACTGTGGGCCAAAATTAACCTCTTTTAAAAAATATCTTGCATAGTCTGTGGTACTGTGTTAATAGTAACAGAAAATAGGCAAAGACACACAGTATAAACAAATCAAATCTAGAATTATGTAAACAAGATAATGTATCATGCTCTATTTTACTGCAGAATACAAGGTTTGGATAATATTCAAATATCAATACAATTCATTGAATTATAATGGGGCTGGCAATATATCTCAATAGAATGCTTGCCTCGAATATACCCCAGCCTGGGGTTTGAACTTCAGCCCTACAATCAATCAATCCATCAATCAATAGAATTCACTCTACTATCCAAATCAAATATATCATCAATGTGATAATCTCAACAGATGCATCAAAATATTTGACAAGATTTAAAATTTATTCATGATAAGTGAACTTCCTTAATTTGATATTTGAGGTATATAAGAAAAGTCTACAGCCAATACCATACTTAGCTGTGAAAGATGAATTAATTTTGCCTATGATTGCAACACAACAAAGAAGTTTATTCTTGTCTCTTCAACTCAACATTATGTTGGAAGTCTTAGCCAGTGAAGCAAGGTAAAAAAAATTATTAAAAATATACAAAGTAGAAAAGAACAGTTAAAAACTGTCTCTATTTACAGATAATATGTACACATATATAAAAATCCTGATGGAATTTATCAAGAAGCTATTGGAAGTTAGTAAGATTGCAAGATAAAAAAAAACGATATATACAAATACAATGTTTATATATCAGCAACAATTATAAATTGAACTTCACAGAGCATTATCATTTAGAATTAAATTTGAAAGACCTAGGGATATATTTGAGAAAAGATGTAAAACATCTTACATTGAAAATTACAAATTATTGCTAAGAGATGTTAAAGAACACTTACATGGAAAGTTATACCTGTTTGTGGGTCTAAAACCACAATATTTTTCTCTTTTGTTTTGTTTTTTGAGACAAGGTCTCACCATGTAGTCCAGGCTGGCCTTGAGCTTATTATGTAGCCTAGTCTGTCCTCAAACTCATGGAGATCTTCCTGCCTAAGCCTCCAGAGTGCTGGGATTAAGGAAGTATGCCACCATGCTTGGCAAAAAATGTGCAATATTTAAAAATGTTAATTCTCTAAATTTTTTTCTTTTCTTTCTTCTTCCTCCTCCTCCTCCTCCTCTTCCTTCTTTTTTTACCTGAGGGTGGCAAAGTTTTCCCAGACAGAGAAAAAGACCAGCATTAATCATAAAAAAATTAATAAACTGGACTTCATAAAAAAATGTCTGCTCTTTAAAAAGCATTGTTGAAGGGCTGTGGATTTAGCTCGGTGATTCTGCCCCCTGCCTTGCAAGCACAAGGACCCAAGTTGTACCCCCAGTACAAAAAACAGACAGACAAACAAACCAACCAAAACTAGGCATTGCTGGAAAAATAAGTAAAATTATAGACTAGCCTAAAATATCAATGACACACAAATCATACAAACTCTTGGTCCAGCTTTATAACAACTCAGTGATTGAACAAAAAACCCTCAATAAATAGGGAAATGATTTAAGGACAATTTAAGAGAGAATATATACAT